CTTCCAGAAAATTCGTTTTCTACGCTCATGAAGTATCGAAAGGTAATAGCCTTCGTGATGAAATTTTTGAAAATGCATGTATACGTAAAAATCAGTGATACCCGACAAACCCGCTTAAATGAAGCTCTTCCTGAGTTGAAAATCATTACAGACGGGCGCCCACTTTGCAAGTTAAATGCAAAAGATTTGAAAATTTCAGAAAACATCCTCATCAAATTCATGCAAAAAGAAATCACTCAGGAATACGAGAAAAAACGGGAAAATCTTTGCATTTACAGAGATGATGATGGACTACTGAGATGTAAAGGTAGGATGCAAAATTGTCATCTGGGAAAAGATATCAAGGAACCCATCATCCTGCCCTCGAAACACCCCATGACAACCCTTTTCATAAAGGAAGCCCACAGCAGATGCGGGCACCAAGGAGTAAATTGTACTTTAGCCGGAATAAGACAACGGTTTTGGATTCCAAAAGGTCGGCAGATAGTCAAGAACTTTATTAGAAAATGTATCATATGCAAACGTTGGAATGGCAGACCGTACTTCTATCCAGATTCCCCTCCATTGCCGCATTCTCGCATCGACCCCTCGCGTCCCTTTGCTCATGTCGGCATCGATCTGGCGGGACCGTTCCGTATCGTCGATTCCGAAAAACAACAATGTAAGCGATGGGTAATGCTCGCAACATGCATGACTACGCGTGCAGTGCACTTAGAAATCGTAAACAATCTTAGCGCAAACGAAACAATCAACGCTATCCGCCGACTAATTGCGAGGAGAGGAAAGCCAGAAATAATTATATCCGATAACGGTACTAACTTCACATTGAGTAACGATATCTTGAAAGATTGCGAAAACAAAATTTTCTGCGACAAAGTGGAAGAATTTTTGACCACGGAGAAAGTAGAATGGCGATTCATCACACCACTTTCTCCTTGGAAAGGAGGGTTTTATGAACGTATGATAGGTATAATGAAAAATGTATTACGGAAATTTATGAACAAAAGAAACATCGATGAGAGACATTTTCTCACTCTCGTCATCGAAACTGAAGCCATGGTCAATATGAGACCGCTCACATACATGGGAACCACTG